GCCACCGCTGCTGCTAGCGAAGCCCCCCCCTATCTGGGGATAAAAGGCAGGAGGCAGAGATGAATAGGTGTGGCCAGACAACTATTCATGTCCCTGCCAGCTGTCCCTTGTTAGCCTGCTGTGTGAGACAGAGAGAGACTTTTTGCTGTTGGCACTCCTAATAAAGGAAAGGAAAATTTATTTAAGTACAGAGGGTCTGTTGTGTTTGAGAGCCGTGTCAGAACAATATGATAACTTTTTAAATTTGAACTGTGATTCATTAAGATTTGGTACATTCCTTCTTTACATCCCCCCCCAGAGGGTGTCCAGTTACTTTGTTTAATAGATAAAGCTGCTGATGCCTGTCGTTACCTACAAACCTATGGGGAATGGAATCGAGCTGCATGGCTTGCAAAGGTAGGATGTTTATCAACGTAATTCCTGTCCTATTTGCTTTGCTCCTTGTTAAGAAATAATGGCATGTATAATAAAAGCTGAGAAAAATAGTAGCTGATGTGCTCAAAGGAAGTGTTTACAAATAGCCTTAAACCGTGAGTGAACTAGAGGTACTGGTGGATATTTATCAATGTCAGTTTTCAAAAATTGCAGGTTGTTTCTCATTATTCTCTAAATAATTAGAAAATAACTTAAAGCAAGTGATATAAATTCAGAGTTATTACATTTAGGTACCTTACAGGCACATGTGACTTGAATGTTCTAGAATGTTTTCAAATATTTTGAATCTTTTTTAGGTTCGCCTGAATGCAGCAGAATGCGCAGATGTTTTGAAGCGTTGGGTGGATCACCTTTGTTCTCCACAAATCAATCAAAAATCCAAGGCAATCCTTGTTCTACTTTCCCTGGGTTGTTTCATGAGAGTGGCTGAGATGTTACATAGGTCAGTTCATATATTCTGTTGACTTAAAAATATTAACCACTTCTCTGTATGCTTTGCACTTTGTAAAAAAAAATAAGAGTAAAAAAAATACAATATCAACTAGATGCAACCTCTTGAAAGTCAAAACAGAAGTCATTTAAATATCTGTCTAAATAAAGATGCCTGTTTTTCAGTTCAAATAGATATGTTTCCAGAGAAAAAGTATATTCTATAAAGAATCTGATTTAGGATACCTAACTATCTGGGAATTAGCTGAGAGAATTCAGTGTATGAATATGATGTTAGGTATTGATTAGTTGCTTAAGGAACAATATCAAAAGTGATACCTTGTTTATGTTGCTCAACAAATATCATTACATGGAGTGAGTCGTGAGGTTTTTGTAGTATTGCCTATTTCTAGTTTTATTCTGACTGAAAGTCTAGTGCAGAAATATATAAAGAAAAATGGAAATGGAAATAAAAATTCCTTAGTAGGAAAACTCTATTTTTATAGGTGTTTGTAGTATATTTTCCAGGTGTCAGTTATTTTTTTGTAAATAATTTACAGAAATAATAGTTGAAAAAATAACTGAAAATGAAATCAAATGACATAGAATAGAAACGATCCAACTCTTGTCTCTCTCACCATACATTTTTCCATAATATATTTGAGTAGTAATATATTTATTTGCTTTTATGAATAGAAACACATATATTTTATTGATTTTTATTTACATTTTTGTGACTGAACTTTTGCATCAAAGCTCTGTGTCTGTTTCATATATCGGAAGAAGTATTTCTGCACAGTGACAAAAATTATCTAACACAATCATTTATTCTTGTTTTCAACAGCATGAGACATTTTGATCGAGCTGCATTGTTTCTTGAGGCATGCCTTAAGTATGGCACTATTGAAGTTAACGAAGATGCAAATATCCTTTTTTAATTATGCATAAATTCAAGCATAGAAATCTACTAATAGTGGAATAGTGGAATTCTTTATTAGGTGCTGTGCATGTAAATCTTTTTCTTCAGTCTAAGGCAAAAATAAAAAGGATTACATATCTAAAGTGTTTAAGTGATAACAGGCAGTTAAATTGGAAACATTTCAGTGTTAAATATTTTCAGATCTAGTAGCAGGATTAAACACAGCGCCAGCTTTAAGCATTTCATCCAGAAGTCTGATACCTGATTGTTCATTTCTATATTCCTTAACCTGCCTTTCACAGAAGTTAATCCATGCAATATTTGCTGATTATGCGAGAAGCCTGAAATCTCTAGGGTTTAAGCAGGCTGCTATTTTGTTTGCCACAAAAGCAGGAATACCAGGCAAAAATCTGTTGAGTGAACTTGAACAACAGAAGGAAGGGGTCAAAGAATGAGAATGCTTTAGAAGACAGCTAGAAGTTGTGATTTCCCATGGGATATGTCATTCGTGCAATACTACTTAAGAAACAAAGAAAGGTTTTTTATTTAAAAAACTATCTTTTATCACAATAGAAATATAACTAAAGAATGTCTTGAATTTTGTTTTAACATTGGTAGAGACAGTTTTGGTATTAAGCAATGCTATATCGTCTTGACTAACAACTGTGTTTGTAAAAGCTTTTCAGCAATTGGATATTTATCTTAAAATATGGTTTAAAATTTGTGAACTAGACTCAGTCCAACATTTTCCTGCCCGTCATGATTTAAGATTGCCTTCACATTTCCCATGAAGTTATACAAATAATACTGGGGGGGAAAAACCTTCACTGCACAAATCCCACAGGTGTATTCCATCATTCTTTGAAACCATTGCATCTGGTTTATCTTTATTGCTTTACCAATACATTACTGATCAAAATTACTTATGGCAGTCAGCACTGCAGCTATACTGATGTTTCATTGTGAAATGTACATCTGCAAGAAAATTCTCTTTCCCAAAAGTTATAGTGTAAGGCCATTTTGCAGTTCCCAAACCTAATTGGACCATGCCAACTGAGGTAAATCTTGGACAAAACACTTGCAGATTTTTCTCCATATATCTCAACTTGTGTTTAATAATAAAATAAATATTGTAAACTAGGGAATTAGGCAAAAGTCAGATATGAAATTCCAGGGAATCAATTGGTTGTGCTTTTCAATAATAATGTAAAAAAGGCCTATCAAATTCATTCTTTTTCTCCTAACAGGCAGACAAAATCCTGAGGAACGTAGCACTCTCTAGTCCTATTATTTAAATGCATTCTGCTTCTGCCTTTGGAATTAACATGACGGCATCACATGAAGTGATTACTTATCATTTAATTTTCTATGAATTTGTTTTATCTCCTTTAAAGTTTTCTAAATAGTGGCCATAATAAAAGAAAACCAGATTCAGATGATTTTGACTTAGTTCCATTTAGTTTTACTTTAATAGCTACTTAATAGATCTTTCTGTTTTAGCTTTTTAATACTTTGTATTGGTTCTTTCCTGTCATTATATCATTTCATAATTTGTGTTTAATTAGATACTTAGGATATTAAATTTTAAATATAAACTGCCCCTTTTTGGTTGCTGAGATTATCAGAACCTAATTCTACTGGATGAATTATCTTATAAAATAAGTTGGTGTGGTATAAATCTAAATATCAGAATATATTAGTCTTAGAAGCAGAGAGAGATTACTATAGCTGTATCCATCTTGATAAGCCATTACATAAGGGCATTATTTAAATCTATGGTGGTAGGAATAAATTAATATAAAACAGAACTAATAAATTCTGCTTCCAAGCCCTCTGAAATAAACTTACTTGTAGGATCATATATAAATAGAGGGTGCATTATAACATAGCAGGCATATTTAATCTTTTAGCATTAAACTTGTCTACAATATTCAGTCGAATGTGCTTGTTGTTAGGTTCTTTTTGCATTTTATATGTTTAAAATTTCACCATTTGCAGTAGAATTGAAGCTCTGCACACTCATACCTGACAATAGCAAACTTGTTAACTAGAAAAAAATCAATTAATAATGCTGTATTGAAAGACTATTGCAAAACCAAGTTTGTACTTGGATCGCTACAATCTTAGTTACACTCCTTAATAGTAGTATATTTGGAACAATGAAGAAATAGTGAAAAAGACAAGGAAAAGCTCAGTAATTCCTGTAGGTTTTCAGAGAGAGACATTTTTACACCTGGATCTGTAAATACTTTCTGTAAACTAGGTAATCAGTTCTGGGTGTGGTGTAAATGGATGAGAGTAAGAATTCATTTTAACGCTTAAATCTCATCAGTCTGTATATCATACAAAGCAGTTCACAGATTACTAGAGTGATGTATGTTTTTATACTTTATGTTGTCATTTAACACTGATTTCAAGAGCACTGGGGTTTAAGGTTGAAAACACTTTAATCCTGATCTGTTCACTATTTGAATCACAGAGGACTTTTTACTGTTTCAGGTCTCTTCATTAACAAGGTAGTGTGAATGGGTTAGTCAGTGATAGTATGTAATGAGTATGATTGAATTAAAATAGCTATTAATCACATGAAACTAAAAGTAATTGGATTTTATACAAAGCATGGCTGAAAATAACTATTCAGAGGTTATTGTGGTACCTGGGTCCATTTATACAGTATTTCCAATGCAGTGATTTAGGAAAATTCAACATTAAAGCATTCTTTTCAATTTTGCAAGACTTAATTCATTAATTAATTTTTAAAAATGTTAAGTTGCTGCACATTTGTATATTGTCAATCATTGCTGTTGTTCAGATAAACAAATGTATTTGCATACAGACATAATGTTATAACTCTTGTCTACTAGAAATAGGAGTCAATGCAATAGGAAATTAAGATTTCACTTCATTTGGAAAAAAAAGCAGATGAATTGTTCTCTTCTACATCAAGGCATCGTCATCACTCTACTATGAAGCTTTGAACTGCCTGGTTATGCTAAAAAACTGGATAATTGCATGCACATGCCTAAGTAGATAATTCAAAGGTATTAACCATGTTTTCCTGACGACAGCTAGTAAAAATGTATATGTTGTTATTGTATAATGAATTAGTGTTGCCTTCCCTTCCCTCTATAAGCTACAGTGAATCAGTGCAGGAGCCCGATTTTCAGCTCTGAATATTACTCCCGGCTGTTTCTATGTGACTTGATAAGAAGGGGAACATTATACGCAGACCAACTCTACTTATGATGTCAATTAGGCCTTTAACAATATTCATAAAATTACATATTTGAATGAATGCCTTTGCTTCAGTGAGTATTCAGATAAAGCATCCTTTATGAAGCAACATAGCCGCTTCTTTTCTAAGACGTACTGTTTTGCATTACTTTGCTTTGCAGCTCCTCCTAGGCTTCTCCGGCAGACCTTGTAGTGTCTTCCATGCTGGACACTTTCATTAAATACTATGAGCACTATTGACACACCAAAGCAACCTACCAGCGGCCTTCCTGGTGTGCACCAAAGCTCCTCCAGGATGGACAGCATATTCTGTGAAGAATATGCTGAGTTCCACCACATACATTGATGCTGTACAACTTTGAAGCATTTTAGCCAGTTCCAAGGAAGTTTACTTAGAAAAAAAAACCTTGTCAATGCAAGTCTAGATAACATTGCATAGGCCTAATAATCAATTAGGTCTTGAGGAAACACACAATAGACTAGGTTTTAAATGAAAAGAGGTATGCATAAATATGTGTAACATTCCTAGCTGTATTCTGAGTAATATTTGTTTTACTGTGAAGTGGAGCTAATGAAATTAGCTAAGTGTTAATTACAGAATTTTAAATTAGACTTAATTGTCATTCCTGAAATCTGTGTGATGACATTAGGCACTTTTTAATTGGTACTGTGATATTTAAGATAAGCCTTACTTGTATTACATGTATCTCTTCATATGTTTACCACAAGTGTGGGATACGCAGAAGTAAGTCCAACTGGACATAATGGATATATTTACAATTATACAGGTGTAGGAATGCGGCCTTATTGCATTATTTATATATTTTGTACAAGTTGGAAATTATTTCCATCAAAATCTTCAAAAATGAAAAATATTATTAAATGTTATGTTGAAAAACAGACATTAAAATCAAGTTTTAAAATTATATTTTCCTGTGATACTGTCTTACCATAAAAAGAGAATGTCTAATTTAATTTTATTTATTCAATTTAAGCACTACCCAACTCAAAATGATTCTGGGCAGCTCACAGAGTAACAAAAGAAAATTCAACAAAACCAAACCAACAAAACAAATAATGATCAAGATGGTGACTCTGATTAACAACAAAACTCATAAGGGTCTCTATTCACCTTAGTCCAAACTTGGGGACTAGGATGACTGTAGGAGTAATTTCATTCCAAAGGACAGATATCATGACAAAGGCTTGCTTCCTGCATGTTCTGACCCATGCTTCATCAAACTTAATAAAACACAAACTGATTTCAAAAGTAAAACCTATTTTAATGCGACATTGGGAATTACTTGCATTCCCAGCCAAAAACTAATTATACACAGTTCCTCCAGATAAGAGCACACTTTTCAGTGCTGTGGAATGCTGCCAAAAAAAACAAGTCCAAATAAGGCTAACATAAACCAAAAACCCAGAAAAAACCAATCAGAGTACACAGCTTCAAGAAGGACTCGGAAATTACTGAACTGCTTTGCTTTCTGCAAAGCTTTTCGTCATTGAGGTCTGACTTTTATCCCTTATGGGAGGGGCAATCACCTCCCAGCCTTACTCCCGAGTTGCCCCTTCTGCTTCAGCTGCTCTCGCCTTCTAGCAGCTCTGCGTACATGTGCATTGGGAACAGGCTTCCCTGGGTCCTCTGCTTCGCTGCTGCTAGGCTCTGAAGGCAGTGTCCCACTCTCAGATGGTCCTGCCCCATCCCTGCATCAGATGCAGGACCCTGATCCAAGTCCTCTCCAGACTCCCTGATTGGTTCCCTTTCGTTCTCACTGTCCGACACCTCTGCTGCCTGCACCGGCTGCTGGCAAACCACAACACTGCCTTCCAAAAGATGATACTGTTTAATTCAGAATTACATGCCAACCCTATCAACTCATATTGCCTGGTTTAGACCACAGAAGATCACTCAAATAACAAGATTCTATGCCATGTAGGCATTTATATAGTTGGTAGTAAGCATACCGTGAATCACACCTAGAAAATTGTTCCCTTAGTGGCCAAACATAACTGAAAAACATATTTCATCTCAAATTATAAAGATCATATGGTTGTGGCTATTGACCATTAACAGTTTTATCCTTAAATGAACTAATCTAATTCCTTTTTGAAGTAATTTAAGCTGAGAATATTATCTTTTGTTGACTAGTTCTATAGCTATAAGCATAAGTATTTTATCTTGCTAGAATATTATATGCATTTTCTGTAAAATATGAATATTTATATAATACTACCACCTCACTGTTTGTCCAAAATAAAACGGCCCAACTAGCGTAAGTCTTCCTCAGAGAGAATCATTCCATCCCCTTAGTTTATCTTTTTATGCAGTTATTTTTCAGGTTTACAATATTAATACTGTTAATGTTATCATCTTAAACGTGACCACCCATGTCAAATATAATGTAATAGTGGAATCTGAATTAACTATAGCATGATATCTATGGAATAATTCACAAAACAGGTTGAATTTATCAAGGAGCTTATGCCATAAATATTGTGTTGTGATTGTGAATGTCTCACTGTTAAAGATTCGCTGTAATAGAACAAATATGAAAAATAGTCACATTATTGAAGACTTCACTTTGAGGAAGTCAAAAAGGTTTGATGATTAGGAGTCAAGGCCTAGGACAGCAGTTCTACAACTGTTGTTGAGCTTTAATTCCTTTAAAGATTTAGGGTCATGGAATCCAGTGATTGGCAGAATATTATCTTTATTAATGTTTTCTTAGTCTTTTAAAAATATACTAAGCATAACATTTTTTAAACAAACTATTAAGCCAATATATTTGCACTGTTTCCTTTTTTACAGTTTTCTTTTTAATTACTACACAGTATTTTGCAATGAAATCTTGCTTCTGTGATCTAATATAAAGCAGGAAATCCCCCCCCCCCCATATAAGGAGCCAAATTCCACAGTTATTTCACTACTGGGGTAAAATAGGTAGAAAATATGTGAAGTATAAGCAGTCCAGTTCTGTTCACATGGCAACTTGTTAACCAGCTTCACTGATCTTTTTAATATATATGGGACCACATGATAGTGTAATCTGCTTATCCAATACATGTATACAAAAATTCCAACTTCCAGAAGAAGATAACTTGTGGGACCTGGAGAATCACCTCAATCTTACTATCTCAATCTGGAATAGTTTCTTCTCCCAGATCAAGCTCTTCCGAAGAATCTAAATATTTTAATGTTAGCATAGGATGTGCAGATCCATGCACTTAAATGTGATGGTTTTCTAACTGCCAATTTTTTTAAACCACTGAATTACCACACCTGGTTTATACCCTTATCTTTCAACTTGACTTTTCAGAAATGGATTATTACTATAAGTCACTTAATTAACTGCAAAGAGTAAGCAGCAGCCAAAAGATTATAACTAACCAATTGAAATAAAATAAAGGTCAACTGAAAGTACTGTATATTTCCTTCTTGCTGTGGGTCATTACAAACAATGCCAACAGTGAAAAGAAGGGATCATTGTACACCGAAGTAAAATGAACGGACTATGGCAGTAGAATATAGTATTTCTCATTGCCTTATGTAGCACTATATGGTGCTCATGTCGAAATCGTTTCCATTTTCTGATTCAGGTGCTATTCAGCTAGAATACTTAGTGGAAAAAGTCCTTTAACAATCCAGTTACTGAGCTGCTGTATTTGGTTCATTCAGCAATGAACATGGTATCCCCCAAAAGAGGTACTCCTCAACTTAGAACAGCCCGTTAGTGACCAAAGTTACGTTGTCACTGAAAAAAGTGACTTATGATTATTTTTCACACTTATGACCATTGCAGCATTCCCCTAGTCACATTATCAAAATTCAGAAGCTTGACAACTGAGTCACATTTATAACAGTTGCAGTGGTCCAAGGTTGTGGGATCCCCTTTTGCGACCTTCTGACAAGCAAAGTCAATGGGGAAACCAGATTCATTTTACAACCGGGTTAGTAATTTAACAACTGCAATGACTCACTTAACAAATGTGGCAAGAAGCGTAAAATGGGGTAAAAAATGACTTAGTTTTCACTTAGCAACATATATTTTGGGGTTTCAATTTTGGTCGTAAGTTCGAGGACTGCCTATAAACTTTTTTGTGCTATAAATGCTTTATAGTTTCCTTTCTGTACAAGATGGGCTGCTGACAGGTGCAGATATCTTCCAATTTCCTCCAAATTTGTGGAAGAAATCATTGCCTATCATTATGAAATACAAAGATTTCACTACAATTATACTGTATGGTTAAGCTTAATAGTCCTCTCTTCTTTCTGTGTAATCTCGCTGACAATTTAACAATCCAATGAAATCTTTTGATAAGAATAAAACAGAAGAATAAAATTATCTTTTACTTTCCTGAAAAATATGTGGAAGCAATGTTTCTAACCATTGCGGTCTGAAATCTGATAAGCCATTATCAGAATGTGACTTCTGTTTATTGTGGGAGCACACTATTTTATTCCTTCTTCCTTCCTCCTCCCCAGCAATCTGTATTTGCAAAACTATCAGAGCAATCTATGCTACTGTTATAAGGCTCCGATCACCTTGCATCAAATAGCAAGGCCAGAATTTAAATAGAAAAATGCTGGAAAAAGCAAACCAATCCATACCACAGGGTCACTGTCAGAACTCTGTGAAACCAATGAAATACCAGTTCAAGTAACCATTTAGCACAATAGCCTTGAGAATATTCACATTCAGTGCTCTTGACAAGTGACAAGGAAAAGGAGATTATGTCCCACTGATACAACATCACCTTTCAGAGAATTTTGTTTTGATTAATCCGGATTGAAGAAATTGGTATAAAGAGATAGAAAGACAGCCTTACATGGATTGTCTTCCATTGCAAGGGAGAAAGAACGGGGCGGATGCATCACACACTGGCCATGCCCATGCCCAGTTTAGCAAAGGGGGGAAAAGTCATGATATGTCACATGACACCGCCATGATGACATGATTTTGACGCCCCTGACTTAGGTGGATTGTAGAGTATATTATTTTCACAAGAAAGTCATTTCAAAAGTCTCAGGTAAGAATATAGAAAATCTCAATCTTGCCATATTACATAGGATGGATTTTGTACACTATGATGTATTGCTGCTGTGTGTGGTGAACATACACTTTCCCCCACCTCAGTGTATTCAGTGTGATTAGGACACTGGTTTGACAATTTGCAAGCCTGGATGTGAAGCCCAGTGCTGTTGTGTGTCAGGGTGAGCTCCCATCATTCACTGCGGGTCCTGCCAACCTAGCAGTTTGAAATCATGCAAATGTGAGTAGATAAATAGGCATCACTTTTATGGGCTCATTAATGGGGGCATGAAAGGAGTCCTAAATAGGTCATCTCCCTGGCAATGGTGAAGTCATCGGCTGATTCTTTCCCCACAGAAGCATTTGGGTGCTTCCGACATGGAAATGAGTAAGTATATGGAGGAACATTTTTTTTTATAAGATACAATTCAAATAAAAAACTGTATATGGTAGCTCTGTGTTCAGGTCTTTTGTTTTGATTTGCACAATCAGCCAATGCTAAGTCAACTTATCAGCTTCTTTTTCAAAAAGTTGCTATGAAAATAATTTATTTGTACATTTTCTTTACCATTCTCTCTTTCTTATACTTTCCTAAATTTGAAATTATCTACTTGTCTAAATTTGAAATTATCATCAACTTTTCTCTCACCAGCCTTTCTCACATAAGCAACTTGTAAGCTAAATCATTTTGTCATGGTTTTATAGACCCAAGGCTGTTTTACTCCTATATATTATTTTAACTAACACAGGGCAGACAAACTCCCCTTTAAATTTTCATACTAATATTAAGTTGATGAAGGATTTACTTTTGAGATTTCTTTCCC